AATTTCTGATGGGAATCCCTAGCTCAGCACTGCCTACGCAAGGATTTTCAAAGGTGTTGGCTTGAGTTTGACCTCAATTACACATGGATGCTACAGCTGGAGCAATCCCAGTGGAGGTGATGGAGTTATACCTGCTCGACCTTGTGTAAAAACCAATACGTGGTCCAGAAAAGCCTCTTTGAAAGAAAATAGAAGGAGTTCAGACCAACTGTTCCAAACTTCTAAGATCTTACCACTGATCCACCTCTCAGCGGACTACATTAACTGGTTCTTAATGGTGCTGGTTACATTTAAATGTGGCTGTGGTTTTATTTTACAGCTTAGGTAATTTTCTTTTTTCTTCACAAAGTACTTACCCTGTTACTGACTACTTATTAGAATACGAACAAATCTATGAAAATGGCACACAAACACAGCTACTGTGATTCTTGCATTAACTATTAGCCTTTAGTAGTGAAAGCATTGTGCTTTGAGATCTAATTAAAGAGAGAGGCTTTAGAAGATGAGGTTTTGCGATAAGGTTAAATAACCCCATGTTAGAAAGTCAAGGTACTTGCAAGTATCTTGCAAAGGAAGGGTCAGATAAAACCAATTCGTCTGCAGCTTTACTTACTGAAGCGGGTTGAAATACCTACAGAGCATGAGGAATACGTATGACTGAAAAACTACAAAACTAGAATTTTAAATTTTAGGCCTTGGCCCTTGCTTTATTTTTTGCCACATTTATAATGTGAGGAGTACCTTACATGGCAAATTAAATTGGTGATGTTATATCCCGTCTGTCTGAACCAGGAATTATTTTTAAGAAAGTAAAGAAAGGTTTTATGAGCGTTGATGTAGCAGGAGGGTGGAGAGGAAGAAGCAGCAGAAACGGTCTCAAGCACTTGTGAAACTGCATTCCAGTTACAACAACTATTTCAGTGCTGCTGTGTCTGGTACTGTCTGCATTCTGCCAGCCTGAGCCTCTCCACATGAAGAGTTGGTCACAACGTCTCTCTAAAGGAGTCTTCATATTATATTCACTTTTGCACTACACATTTAAATAATAGCATTAAAATATATCCCAGTTTGGATATTCCAGGCTAAAATTAGTTCACACAGTTAGGAGATGGTTTTGAAGAGGCTCTGCTCCTTACCTTGTCAAATGGAGGGAGAGGTAACTGAGGAAAAATAAGGCAAGATGGTGAGCAAACTTCAAGGCTTTGTGTTTGGATATAGGTCAGATTGTGGCACACTCAGTAAAAAATGAAAACATTCAAAGGCATGGTGAAATCTGCCCTTTTGAGGACCAAAACTAAAGAATGCATCAACAGGAGACAAAAAGACTGTGAACCATCCTTCTTAAGGGGTTGGGTGATTCATCAGTGTGGAGCCAACATAGCTCAGACACCTTTCCCTGATTGGGAAATTTTAATGAGCCACCTAGGATGAGAAAGCCATTGAAAATTCCCTCTGCAGTTCTGTGAATCAGTTCAAGCCACAATTGCCAGGGTTTGTTTTCTTACCCTCTTTGGTATCTTGGAGTTAATTGGTGTACCCTTGCTTTTTTTTTAATTTGTGGGAAAAATTCATACAAAATGTCTAAATCTATCACCTTTCAGCTCAGTGGAAACTGTGTACAGAAAGGTCATTAAAAGGATGTGAATGGAAGTAACCACATAACTTGAACTACAAGAGTTGGAAAAGAAACCTCTAAAAACCAGGTTAGCTTTGCAGCGCTCACTCCTGATGCATTCAGAGAGCACAAAGGGCAACTGAGCTTTTCATCACCTCCAAAGATGCAGCTAAAAAGGGAAGGAAACCATAATGAAATGACTGCATCTGTCAGCTGGTGGAAACCAACATAATCCCACTAGAAGATGCAGTTTAAATTAGGTAACAAATCTGAGGTTGGTAAAGTTGCGTACTGGGAAGTCAATGTTTCATTCAGTGTACAGACAAGGCTGAACATTCAAATGCCATCCTGAAGTATATTCATCAGGATCCTTGCTAAAAGGCACTGCCGCTCCTAAGGCCCTTAAGTTTCTGCCTGCTTACGGAGAAGTACACTGGTCGTGCTGGCGGGGCTCAGTGCAGTGCCAGGGAAAGGACATCTCTGCCACGAGGAACCATCTTCACACCTGAGACGGGGCCGCGCTCTGACCAGCCAAATGCATCTGAATTAACCTGCACCCCTCGAATGGTTTCTGGGGCTGGGATCAGCTCATCCAGCCCTTTTATGCCCTGTGGCATTGTGGTACGTCACACTGCACGCCAAGGCTTTAGTTCGGATCAGGAGCGTGCTTTTGTCCCATGCGTCCGTCCTGTCCCGTGCTTCAGCGGAGCCACCTCCGACTGTATGGACAGGCTTGCTTCCAGGTGCACCTACACCAGAAGATGCACTACAATAACTAACGGGTACTCAGCCCAGGAGACCAGCGCAGAGCCAGCCTGGGGTAAAACCTCCCAGCGCGACCTGTTCCCCTGTACAGAGCCCTTCATGCTGCACTGCACCAGCTCCCAGCTGAGCCCAGTAACCTCCCTGGATGTACACCAGGCTGGCAGTCCACACATCACCTGCGGAACACACGTTCTCCACTCGTAACCCAGATTTGAGCTTATTGCCTCTTTTTCCTCATGGCTAAAACAGGAGAAATGCTTCTTAGCTAGGCAGCCAGTTATAGGGATTGATTAGGGTAAAGTTCCTTTGACAAATTTATTTTTAAACTGATGTAGGCCAGCTTTTTAGCTATAAAGATGGTGGAAGATAGGATCCCAAGTGCTTCTGCTGACCCAGTTTTATAGGAACAGGCACCACTCTTTTACAAAAATGGGACAGTAAAGGAAGTTTAGACCCTTCGATCCTGGTTCAGCCAGTATCTCCAATTCATTTTGGAACAAATCTGGATGGCAGCAGTAGCTGGCTGAAAGCAGCCTCTGGGGGAGCTAGAAGATTGTATCCAGGGATTTTCAGAGAAGCAAGCTAGCCAAATTTTCTACATTGTATGTACCACACCAGCCTTTGTCAGTGTTACGTTTAATGCAAATTACCTTGCTCACGTTGGCCCTAGCATCCTGCTCGAAAGTTTAGTCGATCTACTCCTTCCAGTCCACTTTTTAAAACTGGCTTAGCTGCAACATCTTTTAAGGCAGTTATGAGTTAATAAGCAGATCTCGGCCAGAAGTTTCCAGCCCAGACAAAGTGAGGTGACAAGTTATGCATTCCCTGGAACGGCATGAGGGACACAGGTGCTGCGGCAGGGTGGATGCCAGGGACAGCATGCCCGGCATGTGCCCACGGCTGTGGAGGGAATGGTTTCCTTAGGAAGGGACCGACCGCACACAGAGCAGAGAGGACCAATTAGGAGGTCACGGGGAAGGCAGGACCAAAAAAAGGGTTCTCAGTTGGCACCTGCAGAGGTTATGTCGGCACTACGCAGGCCCATTGAACTAGCCCCATCCTCTTGTAACAATTCAGCTTCTGTCCCGTAGACTTTGGCACACCATCTAGTTTGCAAATTTTGCAGTCACAGCTAAAATATCTACCTGTCCTCAAACTTAGTGGGCTTTAGTGCAACCCGAATTTCTGTCCAACACTCAGAGGTCTATTCACTCCTTCTCTAGCTCTTTCTTGGGGGAGGTTGCCCACCTCCCTGCACTACGGCTCACAACCCATATAGGAAATGGAAGGGAGATATGAGCTATTTCATGAACTTTTAGTTCCTTGTGGAGCTGCACATGGGAGAGGAAGATGCATACCTACAAAAAAGCAGCTGTACAGCATCATAAGCTACATGCATTCAAGAACACTGAGACAGTCTAAGTAATTCACATAGTGATAAAGAAGATTTTTATAGAAAAGAAACTGCTTAGGATAAAAGAAACAAACAAAAAAAGGAAATCTCCAGACAAAAAGCAAAAAGCTTTTTCAAATTGATGAAATGATTTCAGTACGAGTCCAAGTTCCTACTAAGTACAAACCTAAATGCTTTCTCTGCAAGCACCACCAAGTACAGAAATCAAGAGACTTCTGCAAACAATATGCCCTGAAAGCAAAGCAGCCAGATAACACAAGATGAAAGTCAGCCACCCACAAGTTTAGGGTGGACGCACAATGCAGATTTGTCAAATACAAAAGGAAACAAATCCTGCTGTCACAACCCCTGACTCTAACTCAGAAATGCTTTGCACACCATTTCCACATAGATGATTAATTCTAAAACCCTTGAACTCAGAGTCCATGGCAGGCTGGATAAAGAAAACAAAAAGCATGGGAGAAACCTCACACTTGAGAAAAGACAACGTGGTGGAAATGCTTTGCTGGAACATCTGGACTCATCAATGCTCCCGTTACATAGGGCGTAATGAGAGATCCGTGAATTCGCTCAGCTTGGAGCTGAGGTTTGATTAGGACGTAACATGCTGGTAATTGCCTTTTACCAGCCGCTGCACAGTAGTTTTGCCATCTGCAACAAGCTGCACCTACCCCTCCCTCCTTCCCCAGTACTGTGAGTGAACATAGTCACCACCAGGACCAGTCCCATCCTCCCCAGCCAGCAGCCATGCATACACCATGTATTTTCCAAACTCCTCTTGGCTGCATAAAAAGAAAGACACCACCTTTCTACCGAGACAAAAGTAATAGTCTGTCCACTAACATCAGGTGTACAGCACTGCTCAACTGTAAATGGGGGGTTTTGCCCAAATGGATTTTTATTTCACACCCATTGGGATAAAAGGAACTAAGCGAAAGCTCGAATTACAAAAATTTTGGTTAACAATACTGTTCAAGAAGAAACAAAAGCTTTCAGTCAAAGCTTTCGGTGCCACTCTTCTCTTTTCTGCTCTGGACTGCACTTCCCCATCACTGATGCAGCCCCGTTTGCCACCTTGACATTTGTTCAGCACTTTCCAAAACAAGAGGATTCTCACAGCAAGTTATCTTTTTGTGTCTAGAAGATACTGGACCCCCTGGGTAGTGACCGTTAACCAAACCAATCGATCTAGTGTTTCCAGCTTACCTTTGGACCACTTCCCGGCTTCAAGTGATAACCAAAAACGAGTTCAAGATTCACTACTTTCTCTATGTTTTCTTCGGCTCCACCTGCAGAATCCTGCCAAAGAAAGGCAAGGTGAGACTTCACATCTACCACAACCCCCTGGGAGACAGGAGCAAGGCCTTTGGTGGCAGAAAGGATTTGCCTTTCAGACGCTACAAGTCTGGCAGGCGGCAGGAAGGAGCCATCACTCTGCCACGACCAGAGGGGCCAGGGCTCCTGAAGGGGTTTACAGCGCGCGGTGGATGGCACTTGGGAGATGCTGTGCCGTTTTCGCTCCTGGCCGAGCCGGGGCCGCTGTGAGCATCCTAGCAGCCACTGCCATTGGAATTGCAGCCAGCACAGCACGGTGGCAAAGCCCCGACTTTCATTTTCCCTTTTGGGGAACAGAGTTTTGCTATATGTAAATTCACTTTAAGTGGATTTCACTCTATAGCTCTGCAATAAATTATGACTAAAAAAGCTACTTCAGGCTTTGGGGTCTAGAACTGCTTGATTAGCTCACCAAATTAAATCAGGCAAATATCTGCTCTGGCCACCCCGAGGTTCCCAAACACTCTCTCCCTTTTGCGTGGCTCTTGTTATTGATATTAGAAAACCAACAGGTTAACACAAGGGTGACTAGACATCATAAATCATCCTTCTCTCCTGTAGCATTAACAAAGAGAGGAATGACGGGCTCATTCTGGGCCAGGGGTCTGCCGTTCTTCGGTGGTGAGCAGTCAGTGACAGAGGTTCAGAGGAATGGCTCGTAAGAGTAATTTCTCATTAATGACAGCAAAGGAATCACAACCACTAGTCTTTTAGTTTAATACCACTAGTTCCATGGTAAAATCTTAGACCATCCTTGAAAACAACTTTTATTATCCTATTACTCGTTCTGATGTGACCCATCGCTGCTGTTGACCCTCTGCATTTGTCACAGCCCTCTGCAGAAACTGCTGCTTTGCTCTCCCACGAACGGTAGGAAAATTGAGACATGAGAACTGTAAAATACTCGTATCAACATGAGAAGCACTTCTTACATAAAGAATGAGACTTGCCTTAATTAGTGGTGGAAAATGAAACAGATTTAGGTAGTCATGGGTTAACTTCTCAATAGCAGTCTAGAAAAAAAATCAACAAAATCAGATGAGAGTTATTCAGTGTCTCATACTGCAAGTACCACCATGAAAAGCAGCACAGCTCCATGTGCACTGTGTTTCCCATTGTGGATATATCAGGGCATGTGAGAAGAGTTTAAAATACAGCCCCGTTCTGGAAACTGTTGTGGTAGATTGGCCCCACTTTGCATTCAGAATCAGATCTGCTTAATCAGAGAAAGAGGTGTTTGGGGGGTTGCTTTGGTTGTTTTTCTTTATGCTCAATCAAACCAGGAAGCTGAAATCTTTCATTTGGGGCATTATTGACTTTATTAAGTTTCAGTATTTTTCCCTGTAGGAAATGTAAATTGAATATAGCAGTAGTGGTGTGTGGCACGGAAAAAATGGCTGATGAGCAAAAGGGGAATAAATCTGTGTGACTTATGAAGCTAAATTTGAAGGACTAGCAATTAGGATATAAGTGTCTCTTTACTAGTAAATTGTGATATAAGATCATTGAGACCCAACAGAATTATAGATGCTGCCTTTAGAGAAATCCTTTTCCAAAGCTGACTGCCAGGAAACTGAACTCTCTCCTGTGGCTACAGTATTAGTACTATTACTGCTGTCGTGATCACACCTTCCAGAACATGATTTTCTTAACTCATTACAAACATTAGATATTTAAAACACAGTGAAACAAAGCTTTCAGAGCAAAGCAACCTGGCTGTCAACCAGCTTTAAAGTTGTCTAATGGAGTTTTGTTAGTCGAAGTATGATTTAAACTACAGATGAGATGTGAAAGTTGAGAAGTTCAGAGATTTCAGTTCAAATGACTGTTTTCATATCTGCTCCTCCCTCAGCTAAAAAGAAATCTTCAGGGAGGACTCTCTCTGAAGATATCCAAAGCTTTCTGCCAGAACGGCCCTCCTAGGCAAATCTTTAGCAGAACTGACAGTCCAGCCCACAAGAAAACCAACAGAGGAGTATAGAGACCACAGCACATTTTCATGCCTCACAAAATGCTCAGGTTGCTTTGGGTTCTAGGTCCGTATGAACATGTAACTCTGTTTTTATTAATACCAAGTATGTTCTCTATTTACAACTTTTTTGTTGTTAATACTATTGAAAATCCCTAGACTCCTTCTTGATGTTCACACTATAACCTATTGCAACATTCAGCATGCACTGTTAAATACCTTTAAATGGATGATGTGTCCTCTGGAAACAATCCCCATGTCCTTTAAATCCTCTTCTTCTAGAAGAAGCAATCGTTTCCCAGTGATGTGATGTTCCTTAAACAAGCTAGCATATACACTCATTTCACCAGAAGCATCGCCTTAAGATAAGAGAGGTTATTCAGAAATCCATAGGGTGCTTTATTGGAGGGAGAAAAAGATGAGCAAATGTATCTATATTCATAAATGTGAATATGAAGGTAGATACGAATAGTTTTTACCTTTTCTAGTAAGTTGTTGCATCCAGAAAAACTGCAAAGAAGAGGAATCAGTCTTGAAGTTCACATTATCAAAATTCTGTATTACAGTTATTTGGAGTTCGCAAGTTTCTTTTTTAAAACAAAATTTAAAGATATTTCTAACTTTGGGTCAAGGGACTCAAGACTCACCAATGCAAGTGATTACTTTTATTTAGCTTTTAAAAACTGCCTTCTATTTCGCAGCCACCTTCCTCAGTTTGTCATTATGAGGAACAACAGAAATGACGGAAGCAGAAGCTTAGTGATCTGTCACATGTTAAAAGGGCTGAAGTTAAGGACTCAGGGCTATATGCCTTTTGCAATGGCTTTCCAGACAGTCCTTCAGTAAATGTTAGCTAAACAACCCCACGATGCACAACACACAAGGAGGGTGCTAGACAGGACGTTAAAATCACTATGACACATCCCTAGGCTGGAGATAAATCATTGATCTTTCTTGTTTAGCCTTTTAACTGAATAAAAAGGTAAAAACGACTCAATGCCATGATTTTATATGAAAGAAAGATTCCAGACCCCTTAAAAAAACCCTTAACTGGTGGCACACAGTGGCATAAAACCTTCAAAGCCATTTTGTCCTGTCCAGGACAGGTCTTACTCAGACAGCTCTTGGGACACTTCCATGTTCCTTAAA